AAATGTCATTGCTGGAGCCAGAGGGAGCGGAATAACCCTAGCAAAGCCTTCCCTTTTCACACCACCTCCTAGCTCTAAAGCCTTTCTCTTTAAAAAAAAGATCGCCTTTTGTAGAAATGGTTGGTAAGACTAGGAAAATTGTCACTGCTCAGAAGTAGGCCAGGAATAATTCTCTGTGCAGAGCAGAGCCAGTGTGATGGTTGAGGAATAGATACAACAAAGGATGCTGACACAAAATGCCGGAGGCCGGCTGCCAAGTCTTCCAGTGTCTCAGACTACTAGGGAAAAGCAAAGAGCTTCAGAAGTGCAGCTCAGAATAGGGAGCAGGGAACTGTTTAAAAGACACACAGATTTACACGGACACATCCAGAACTAAATGTGGGAGAAGTCCCAAATTCTGCTCTTCGAAATCCTCAGATAACAACCTTCTTCATCTGCTTTCCTTACAAAAACAGAGACCATCTTGTCCTTTTAAAACTTGTCACAGCGCAGGGACAGCAACCCCTGCGTGCTGTGGATGGAGGTCAAGCTGCGTAGGGAGCGAGCTCGGGGGGCTCCTCGCCCCTCTACTCCTACCTCCCGTCTGTATCTCGGATCTGCAGCGGTTTAGGGGGGACGGGAAGGAAATCTCTCCTCCTCCGGTGGACTGAGAACAGGTTTACAAAGAGCAAACTTGAAGGGAAACTTGCCCAGATGTGTGGACAAGAGGGATGGAGCTGGTGAAGAGGATTCCCCCCCCCGGGCCTACAACTGCACTCCTGCACCAGTGCGTACTGTCCACTCCCAGTTGCTCCCAGCTGCTCCCAGCTGCTCCCAGCTTCCTGACCAGTTTTGAGTGTAATAAACCGGACTCATAGAGCTCTAACTCCAAATCGTCAAAGCTACAGAGATCAAGGCACATTAAACTTATTTCAGCCCTTATTCCCAGAAAAATGTGCATTACAGAGAGCTGACAACTCTTCCCAGCTCTGTCTTTTGTATCACTTATGGTCTGATTCTGCTTTATGCCCATCTCCATTCACCTAACCTGGAAAATAAGCATAATGCCCTTATCTTGCCACAAGGAACTACCTTTTTACCTGTCAGGAACATATTCCTCCTATTCATTTGAGTTACCAGCCTGAGCGGTCAAACTCTATGGCTGCCATGGATTTGGTCTAGTTGCTTATGTGGGACCGACGTCACATTCACGAGAAGCGTGGCAGATTCCACAGCCCACTTCAGTATGCTTTTCACCCTGGTTTTTACTGTGCAGTACTGAAAAGCCCAATTTTTCCCTTTCTCTGGTTTTCCTTTCCTCTCCTTCAAAGTATTTGTTAGCTGGCCTACACACAGACACAACAAAATAAAAATAGAACTAAAAGAGAATATGAAAAACTGACAGTTCATTGTTTTCACTTTTGTTATTCTAATGTATTTCATTTATCCTTGCCATTTTAATCTATCTCATTTCACCTAAAACTACTTACTATTAAGTATAACTTAATTGTGTCTTCACCATTTAATGTATGAAAATAAATGCCAGGGCCTTTTGCAACATACTACCTGTCTTATAGAATCTCAAATTCATGTGTGCTAGAAGAGATGCTTCTTTGCTGACACAGTCCACTGGCGTTTTGCATGACAAGTTTTTACAAAGTACAATGGGGCAAAATATTAGGTTTGGGCTTAATTTGTTCTTTTCAATCAAGGAAAAGAAATCTGGCTGCTTTATAATTAGAAGCCAGTCCAGGCTTTTGTCTTCTGATTTAATAAAAAATTATCCGAAACTATTCCTAGCAGTCCTTAAAAATTTAATTAATTTCTGTTGTCACTTTGTGAGGCTTAATAATTAAGTGGGATCATAATAATTAAAGCTGATTCTGATTTATGAGGATTGTCTGCAAATTATTTCAATAAATATCTGAGGGTTTGGATGAAAACCTAAATTGGCGAGTGTTTTCCTTTAAAGAAGAGAATGGCAGGTTTTATGAAACCTATGGGAAAAAAAAAGAAAAAAAAACCCAACAACTTGTGTCCAAATATTTATTGGTAAAATTGAAGCTGAAGCATTCTGTTCACGCAGGCCAAATTTCCACATTATTTAATTTATTTGAGAGAATCAAGGCTTCAGCAGGCTCCATTAATGTTTAAGTAGCATACTGTACATATTAGTGTATCTATACGTGATTGACATTTTTACCCTATAAGTCTGCTTCTGACTTCCGTATGTCTTAAAGAATAATAGTATACACTACTGTAACCGAGAAAGCGTTAAACTAGCAGTTTATCCGGAATTTATATGCATTAACTAGGCATTGACAGCTTCATTTTGTAAACAGAGGCTATTTGTAAAAATATCAAAATCTTGCTGTTCACTTAGAGAACTCCGCAAAAAATGCAGAGCCCTGACAAGTTCCAGACACTTTTCAACAGTATATATATTCCTCTGAAGGTCTCTTATTTTCCCGAAACTCGAAATTCTGTAGAAATACTGTATCCTTAATAGTTAAAGATATGGTTAAGGGAGCCGATTCTTTATCCATATTCAAAGCTCAGCCATGAAATTGTGTTACTTCCTTCTCTTTGAAATCAATTTACGACAAAAATACCGAAGCTGCCCCCTCGGTTTCTCTCCCAATCTGGAGAAAAGCCCCTAAAGAATAAGCCTGCGTTACGGGGGAGACTTTTTATCTACGGGTTTTATTTTAATTTAGAAGGAAAAACAAAAGTTTGCCGTTGCCGGGGTCTCCCTGCCTTCACAACGCGGCGTTAAACACATCTTTTCTCTCTCATCTGGGGTCCCAACAGCAAGAAACTCCCCCGAATGAAAGTCCACCGTCTTCTCTTCGCTCCCCGAAGAAGCTGGGGCGATTTCGTGGCACGCATTTTACAAAAAATATGAATTTATAACTCCGAAGAAACACAGACTCGGAGGACGAAAAGCTCTTCCTGGCTAACAGTTAGGCGGGCTCTGCAAAGCACCAATCACAGATCACCGCTTCGCTATAAATTCAGGCATCGGGGTTACTGTAGCCCAATTACTTGCTTTTGATTAGGAAGGAGCCTCTGCAGCGATGTCGGAGACCGCTCCCGCCGCCGCGCCCGCCGTCGCGGCCCCCGCCGCCAAGGCCGCCGCCAAGAAGCCCAAGAAGGCGGCGGGCGGCTCCCGAGCCCGCAAGCCGGCGGGCCCCAGCGTCACCGAGCTGATCACCAAGGCCGTGTCCGCCTCCAAGGAGCGCAAGGGGCTCTCGCTCGCCGCGCTCAAGAAGGCGCTGGCCGCCGGCGGCTACGACGTGGAGAAGAACAACAGCCGCATCAAGCTGGGGCTCAAGAGCCTGGTCAGCAAGGGCACCCTGGTGCAGACCAAGGGCACCGGCGCCTCCGGCTCCTTCCGTCTCAGCAAAAAGCCCGGCGAGGTGAAGGAAAAAGCCCCCAAGAAGCGGGCAGCCGCCGCCAAGCCCAAGAAGCCGGCGGCCAAGAAGCCCGCCGGCGCCGCCAAGAAGCCCAAGAAAGCGGTGACAGCGAAGAAGAGCCCCAAGAAAGCCAAGAAGCCGGCGGCTGCCGCGGCCAAGAAAGCGGCCAAGAGCCCCAAGAAGGCGACCAAGGCTGCCAAGCCCAAAAAAGCGGCGGCAGCGGCGAAGAGCCCGGCCAAGGCGAAGGCGGTGAAGCCCAAAGCAGCCAAGCCCAAGGCGGCCAAGCCCAAAGCGGCCAAGGCGAAGAAGGCGGCGCCCAAGAAGTGAAGTGTTCAAGTGGAAATACTTAAACCCAACGGCTCTTTTAAGAGCCACCCACTACTGTCCCCAAAAGGGCTGACACACTCCGTCATCGAGCTCCGTGCCTGCAGCAGAGCTACCCACACGCCACTATCTGCGTGGGACGTTCGTCTGTGGAGTGGATGGGACGCTAAACTTCCGGCCGTGATTACGCTATGACTTGGAAAAATAAAGTTTACATTCCCTGCGATAACGCTTTCTGAAGGCTGACTTTTTTTGAGCAGCGCAAGAGGGGTGTATGTGTTAAAGGGACTGCTTAGGGCGGGTATCGCTCCGGGGCGCGGACGTTTCTTTCGGTGCTTTAACCGCCGCGGTTCCTAACAGCCCGGGCGCGATCGCCACACCTCTTAGTGACCGTAGCCGGGAACTGTCAGCACGGCTTCTCCGCTCCCTTGGCAGTGACCTTTCCGCTTGGCAGCGCTGTCGTGAGCAGGTCTTTAATCTCGGCGTGACTTCACCGACCTGCTTTTTTGAGGAGGAGATTGCCGGGGCGGGAGGCGGTAGAGCTCCCTGCGGTCCTCTTCCGCACCCTGCCGGCCAGGTAGCGGTGCAGCCGGAGCGGGGGGAGCTCTGCCGGGCGGTTGGCCGGGGCTGCTGCGGACACAGCGCTTTGCGCCGGGGGCTCCTGCGGCCGGTTGAAGCGCAGGGAGCGAAAGCGGCGCGGAGCTCCCCGCGGCATCGGTGGCTCCGGGAAGCTCACCCTGGGGCCGGTTGTGATTGGCTGATGGGAGAAGCCGCAGCCGCTTATTGGGCGATTAGAAAATTTCGAAAAGCCCGCGCTGCTGCCGGCGGACCGAGCGCTGCCCGCGCCGGCTCCGCGTTTACCGGTGATGCCGGCTCCACGCGTCCCCGGACAGCTCGTCCTCCCAAAGCGTCTACCCCGTCTCAGAGGTGGCCTCGCTTCTCCTGGTCTTCTCGTCCTTGCCTTCTGATCTACCAGGCTGCTTCCTGTCTTCTCATACAGAAGGGAAATTGTTCAAGCTCAGACTATCCCGGGACAGCTATGCAAAAAAGGGGATTAGGGTCTTCTATTTTTCCCTCATCTTCATTTTTCGGGGCGTGTCTTAACGTAGCTAGTGGAAGCTATGTGACTTTATTTGTGATGGAACGTGTAGTATAATGTACCACACCTCACATCTCTGCTGAGAAAAGCCGAACAATATTGCTGACACCTATTGAAAAATATTTGTGATGGAACATGTAGTATAATGCACTGCCTCACATCTCTGCTGAAAAAAGCTGAACAATACTGCTTACGTTTATTGGAAGACTATTTGAATGTTAAGTCATTAAGTAATAGTTAACACATTTGAATTCACTTGAAGCTGTAAAATATTCACGAAGGATTTCAGAAACAGTTAATGCTCGCAAGCTATGATAAATGTGATTTAACAGACTGCAAATTCTATTTAGCGTTTCTTAAGTACAATTTCACACATAAGACCCAAGACATTACTGTGTTAAAGCTCTTTCAAGGAGTATGTGGGTGGCTCTTAAAAGAGCCTTTGGGTTAGAACTGTGGATCCGGGAGACGCTCTACTTGGAGCTGGTGTACTTGGTGACGGCCTTGGTGCCCTCGGAGACGGCGTGCTTGGCCAGCTCGCCGGGCAGCAGGAGCCGCACGGCCGTCTGGATCTCCCGCGAGGTGATGGTGGAGCGCTTGTTGTAGTGCGCCAGGCGCGAGGCCTCGCCGGCGATGCGCTCGAAGATGTCGTTGACGAAGGAGTTCATGATGCCCATGGCCTTGGACGAGATGCCCGTGTCGGGGTGCACCTGCTTCAGCACCTTGTACACGTAGATCGAGTAGCTCTCCTTGCGGCTCTTCTTTCGCTTCTTGTCACCCTTCTTCTGCGTCTTGGTGACGGCTTTCTTGGAGCCCTTCTTGGGCGCGGGGGCGGACTTGGCCGGCTCGGGCATGGCGAGCACAGCTTCCCCCTCTTACAGAACGAAACCAGCAGCTAAAATGGCCGCAGCTCCCTCTATTTATAGGGCTGTTATGCAAATACCAGACCTCTAACTCGTACAATTCGATTGGACTTTCCCTCACGGGGTGTATCTTTGTCGCTGATTGGTTACTATAGGATCCGTCTTCTCATTGGTTGTATAGGTGACGACTGTTTTCAGCCAATCACCAAGAGCTAATCCCGCCCAGGGAAGGGATAAAAGGGAGCAGACGTTGCGTCAGTATGATCGCCCCGTTGCTGTCGGGCGGGGTCTGGCTGGAGTTTTTCAAGCGCCTAAAGCATGTCCGGCCGCGGGAAGCAGGGAGGCAAAGTCCGGGCTAAGGCCAAGTCGCGCTCGTCGCGGGCCGGGCTGCAGTTCCCCGTCGGCCGAGTGCACCGGCTCCTCCGGAAAGGCAACTACGCGGAACGGGTGGGGGCTGGAGCGCCCGTCTACATGGCGGCCGTGCTGGAGTACCTGACGGCCGAGATCCTGGAGCTGGCGGGCAACGCGGCCCGCGACAACAAGAAGACGCGCATCATCCCCCGGCACCTGCAGCTGGCCATCCGCAACGACGAGGAGCTCAACAAGCTGCTGGGCAAGGTGACCATCGCGCAGGGCGGGGTGCTGCCCAACATCCAGGCTGTGCTGCTGCCCAAGAAGACTGAGAGCCATAAGGCTAAAAGCAAATAAGCTCAGCGAGCAAAGCTGCTCAGGCTTTTCGCAATATAACATTATAACCCAAAGGCTCTTTTCAGAGCCACCCACAGGGTCAGAAAAGAGTTGTGTTGCTTTACAAAAGTGTTTGGGTGCTAAGGGTTAATATGCTGATTTTGTTACAAAGCTAAAACCATGTTCTGTGGCAATTTCTTAAAACTTCTGGCTCTTACAGGAAAAGGGTGGTAGATTTTTCCAGCTCCTCATCCTTTTTAAATGAAAAAATACTAATTGCATTTGTAGTGATTTATTGATTCTCTTGTGTTTTTCTTGTAACAGGATTGGTAAAATGCTCGTTCTTGTTGTTGAATCTGCTCATCTTTTATCACTACAGACTACTTATGGTATGAAATATGGGGAGGGGGGTGGCTAGAAGACTGAGGGGGAAGTGGAAAAATCTTTGCAGCATGAAATTAAATAGGAGAGCATCCCAAACCCATATAACTATATCTAAGAATGAAGAAAGTCTTAGTTTATAGGCCTTTGTTCTTTAAAAGATGTAAAGCTTCCCTGTGACTTAATTTAATTCAGAAATAACATGAGAAACGCTTTAGGGGAATTGTCTTATTTTGGTCTAGATCCTTAACTAGTCAGACCTGCACTGTAAAGCAAAAATCTTTCCATTCAGAAGAAACTCCTTGCAGTGCTGGTATATTCCTGTTTTAAGTGTGATTTTCAAACTTGCCCCTCTTAAATTTCCTCATTGTGCGTAGCTATTCCTCTTGTTACATCAGTGAACAGTGAGCAATATTTGAATTAATCTACCTTGTTGGCACAAGTATCACCCAAGAGCACAATGTTAAAGCTCTTTAGATTCACAGTTATAAATTATGAGAGACTGTCTAGCTGATTCCTCTTGCTCAGATGTTCCCAGAAGCTGCACCTGGTGGCCTGCAGCACACTGCATTGAGGCCACAGCTCCCACCTGTGCAGCACCTCTGCCCTCCCCATACCCTGGGGGGAAGGAGGAATGCTCTGGTCTTAGAGGAAGGAAATTATCACCTATGGCAAGATACTACCCCCTGCACCTTTCCTCCCCACCCCGCAAGCAGAGAGGCTTTTAAGTAGGACTGTATCATAACCGAAGTGGGACATCAGGGATGGTTTGTGGAGAGAAACATAGAGGAAGAGAGCTGTCTGGAGCACCAGACTCTTCTGATATGGTAACAGTATCTGTGCCTAAGGGTTTTGTTCGCGAGTGGATACATTTAGACCTGTAATGTTTTCATTACGCTGTTTTATTGATCATTAGCTGCAGCTACATATCTCCAGCAATTACACCTCTCTTGAAGAACTGCAGTGATATAAAAACTGTGTTTAATGTCACAAGTCTTCTGTAGTGTCCAGAGCAGTTCCCTGCATATATGCGTTTCAGAAGATTGCAATCATGGAACAGTTTGGGTTGGAAGACACCATCAAAGATCATCTAGTGCAACCCCCCCTGCCCTGGGCAGGGACACCTTCCACTAGGCCAGGTTGCTCAAGGCCCCATCCAGCCTGAACACTTCCAGAGATGGGGCAGCCACAATTTTTCTGGGCAACCTGGTCCGGTGTCCCACCACCCTCATTGCAAAAAACGTCTTCCTTATGTCCCACCTAAATCTACCCTCTTCCAGTTTAAAACAGTGGCCCCTTGTCCTGTCACTACAGGCCTTAGTAAAAAGTCTCTCTCTGTCTTTCTATTTTGAAAGGCTGCAGTAAGGTGTCCCCAGAGCTTGCTTCTCCCCAGGCTGAACAACCCCAACTCTCTCAGCCTTTCTTCACGGGAGAGGTGTTCCAGCCCTCTGATCATTTTTGTGCCCCTCCTCTGGACCTGCTTGAGCAGGTCCATGTCCTCCTTGTGCTGGGGACCCCAGAGCTGGATGCATTACTCCAGGTGGGGTCTCATGAGAGCAGAGTAGAAGGGGAGAATCACCTCCCTTGACCTGCTGGCCATGCAGCTTTTTATGCAGCCCAGGATACGAGGGGCTTTGCGGGCCACAAGCGCACATCTCTGGGTCAAAGCACTGGAATACCGGAGAAAGCCCATGGGGGTGAGGGTATCTGTCTCCAGGAGTGGGATTTCTCTGTGAGCAAACTCCTGTATGTGGAAATCAGAGTCAGTACCACAGGAGAGGGCCTTGGCCTTCTCTGAGTGTGGAGGTAAGTCCAGCACATTTCTCCAAATTCTTCTTGTCATCTGACTAGAAATTCATTATTTTCTTTAGAACTTCATTCCAAACACCTCTTCACTCACTACTCTGCTCACCTCAGTAACTGGATTTTCACCCTCTGTGACACTTAGATCCACTTCTTCGCATTCCCTATTTTTGTTCTTAGCCACTGGTGGTTTCACCGGCTGTGAACCCTGTGCTGCCATCACACTGATGAGGCCTCAGATGGAAATGGAAATGTCCTGCAAGTCAGATGGATTACATGATAAGAGTGCTGGCAAATCTACTGGTATTAAAGACTCGTGGCTTTCAAGCAAATTCCGCTGGATGAAGGAATGTAGCAAAGCGAGTTTAAATAAATGAGCTTTCTTTCAGTTGCCTATACAACAAACAGTAGCAAAGAAGAAATACATGTGGTGCCTCAGCTGTATCACTGGGTTCCAATACACCTTCACATTCTAAAGAACTTGTAATGCAAAAATACCTCCAACCAAGCTCCCTCAAATGTTACAGATCACAGTTATATATAGGGATAACTCAGTGATGTCAGTCCATATACCAAAAGTCTTAGAATTTCATAGCTAAAAAGTAAGATGAAAGGCTTTTCTATCCTTTTCCACCTTTACTTTGTTTGCAATGTTAGGAATAATACACTCTATTAAAAAGATCTTACATTATTTTAGTTTGCATAATATTATTACTATTATTACAGTTGTAGCAAATACAGATATGGATTTCAATTGCCGTATAAGCTCTCAAGAAAATTAGAAGCTACTTTGCTGTTGGATATAATACATTGATGTGATGATTTTTTTTACTAATTATGTACTTTCTTGTGCAGTCATGGTGAGATGTTGCCTTACTGCAATAAGCAAATGCAACTTCCTCATTATAGTTTAATGAGGAACTAGGGTGACTGTCCTAATTAAAGCACACTTGAAAAGCTACAGATTTTTTTTTTAAATGGAGCAGAGGCTTGCATAGGTTTCCTTTCTAATTTAGCTCCTAGCAATATGTGTCCAAATTCATGAGGAAAATGTAGTATGTATAACCTGGGGATTGGATCCTAAATGATCCAAATAATAATTGGTCTCTAATCAACAGTAAAAGCAACTTCATTAGGGATTATAGTCAGCAGCAAAATTTTCTTTCCGCTCTACTTATTTTTGTCTAAGAAAACCCTCTGGTCCATGACAGAACTGACTATGCCAGTAAAAGAAACACTTAGGAAACACATCTGTGGTCACTTGCAGCAACCAAGAGGCAAGGCAGCCTCCCAGAAAGCAGGATTTTAAATTACATTAAATGTGCTCCAGACTTTGGGGAAAGGGGTTTGCAGCTAAGTAATCTGTAATCTACTGGTCTCAGGCTCTGCATCACTCATTTCTGTTAGGACACTTTGGAAGATTATTTTCCAAATCTTCCAGTGGTTATACTGCTAGAGGGAAAAGTTATACTAGGATGCTCACCCTGCACTTAGGAAGAGTTATGAAGAAATTATGATTTTGACAGACTGAAAGATTTTGTGTAATTCATTTAGGCTTCCTTTGGCATTCAGAAGGTTGTTTATAACTGCCTCAGGAAACATATCTAGACACAGATCTTTAGGTATAAAGAACAAAGCCAACTTTGTGGAGCCAAATGGTAATGTTAGGCACCAGCCTGGCAGATCCACTAGCAAAAAAACCCCTTTCAGTTACTCTATAAACAGTTTTAGTTCATCCTGTTCAGTCAAAAAGTGAACACAATCTAAATTATAGCTAGTTTTGCCTGTTCATTTTGTATATAGTTGAGTGGCAATTCCTTAATTTATTTAAAATAACAGTTTGAATGAAAATGGAATTCACAGTGATAATTATAAACATAACAAAGACTTGTACTTTTCTGAACACCTATAACTTAATACATGAATATCTCAATCACATTTTTCCCTTGAATTTAGGGAATATATTCTGCCAAGAAATATTTCAGAGTTGTTGCCTAAATTCTGTGAATTATGTTCCAGAATGAGACTACATAAACAACAGTAGAAATTTTAAAGCGTATCAATAATTTTTAAAAGTTAGACCTGTTTGAAGTGCACAAAATCCTAATAATATCAAGTACCATAGCTATATCACTTCTATTCTGACTGTGTAAGTAACATTGTAAATCTTAACACATTTAATTTAAAAATATAGTCCCATTAACTCTTTCAGTAGTTATTTGTTTACTTTACAAATACAGTCCAACATACTGTAAGCAGCACGCATGCGAGGTTAGTTACCAAAAGCGCGACATACACAGCAAAATTTCTGCATTGCTCATTTGAAGAAAATTTTTTCCTTTATTTGTCATTTCTGAGATGTCATACAGACATGGTTGGTAATGTCTGTCATGATTTCTTTCGCTTGTTGCATCCAGCTGCACGTTAAGGAGCGCTGCTCCATTGCAGGGCCGGCAGCGAGACCGGCGCCCCGGGACTGGGGCTGCCCGAAGAGGGGAAGGGCGGACGGTTCCTTCTGCGCTCCCAAGCAGCCGCTCCGAGTTCCTTTCACAGGAGCTTCGGGTCTCGGAGTTTTCCCACCGGAGCCCCTCTCTGCCGATTTTCCCGGCCGCTTAGGGTCTCGCTCCCTGCTCCCTCTCGCACCGACCCGCAGCCCGCTCCTTGCGGACGCGAAAGCGCTGAACGCTCGGGGCGCAGCCCCCAGGGCTGCACGGAGGAGGGGGCAGCCCTCGGGACCGCAGTGTCCGGGTAGGCAAAGAAAACACGGAGCCGCCACGACCGAGGAAAACAAAGAGAGCGCGGCCCGGCAGGCGTCCCTCCGGCGCTCCCACCGAACGAGGCGGGGAGCAGCGGCGGGGCGGGGCGGGGCGGCAGCGCCGAGCGCGGCCTCGGATTGGTCGGATTTTGCCGCAGACCCGCGGGCAGCGGGGAGGAACCGGGCCGGGGCCGGGGCCGGGGCCGCCCCCCCCGATCCGGCCACGGGCGGGAGCCCAGAGCTGCCTCGGAACCGTCACCCGCGC